CACACACACACACACACACACACACACACACACACACACACACACACACACCACACACACGCACGCACGCACACATTGCCCGAGATTGAGCAATATAATGTACTGGTATCACTTGAAACAAAGATCGAGCTACCCATTATTATTGTATTTATCAAGAGTATAGTAGATAATAAGGTAGATGTGTTATTATCTACTCTTGTATTATTTATGAAATCATTGATCTAGGTTTTACATTTAATATCACATTTTACTCACGCGGCCCACGATGCCTTCATTGTCTTTACTCGAGTTGTATTAATCTTGTTCGTTTTTCAATGGTTATTGCGATGAAACAAAAAATCCGTGTCTGTTTGCAAACAAATGTCAAACTGCACTGTCTGAAAATACGCGCGCTGCAAGAATAACTTATAATATTAAATTATAACTTACATAATATGTTCACGTACCGTCCTTATATATCTATTATAGGCTAGCTATTGCATTTATATAAATGTTCCATGTCCTCTTTAATATTCATATGACATAAATTACACCGGTCATTTCTAAAGTAACTTTTGAATTCAATCATGTAAGTTTTTCATTTAAATGCAAAACACGAGTCTGCAAATTACATTTCTTTCATATATATTCCTTCAGCCCATGTTTCGATGTCTATAATCTCCATTTTTGTTTTTTTTATTGTTTTTATTTTGTCTCTTATATTATTACGCTTTTCAAGATGGCTTCTTAGACTTGTTTTTTTCAGGCTTTTTTGGGTTTAACCCTATGACTGTAAATGATATTTCCAGGTCGTAGTTATTTAAAATTAGTAAAATTTTGTTTGCCCAATTGTTTCCTTCCTCGTTGGCCTGCTGTATAAATTCTCTCTTCATTAACCTATTGTAAATCTATATCCAACTCCAACTACAAAGAGTATGAGTTTTTTGTATTCTATATAAAATATAAATATAAAATAGGGTCCTATTATCGGCAAGTTTCGTAACTCTGTTAATCTTAGTGCTTTCAGACCCAGTGCAGTGGTGTTTTACTATGTTCTTTTATTATTTTGCGCAAGCACTCATATTGGAAATCATCCAACATTTTACTTCCTCCTTGGTTAAGGTCCTATTCTTGGTAAGGTCCTAACAAGGTATTAGTCCATGTTTCACTATTATTTAAAAAGGAAGGTAATACGTACGTATCGTGCATTCAACCATGCACATCCAAACGTTGCGAAAAAAAAGTGTTAGCTGGGATATAAAAACGTATATATCTATACATACAGCATGCGTGCGTGTGTGTGTGTTATAATTCTAGCACTAACATAGTATCAATCCAGCATGAAAAAGTTTTAGTCCCAAATTTCAATAAAGTTTCAATTCCCAATTTCGTTCTAAATAGCCATGTTTCGCCTGTTTTGGCCAAGGCCTGTTTTGGCTAGCTCCACTCCGTTCCGGTACTTTACCACACCCACCAGGGAAACGCCGTTTGCTAAACGAAGTACGGCCATTATAGATATGCGTAGTTAGCGAATCAGCTTAGACTGGTACTCGCTCCCCCCTCGATTACTCGATGGGGAATTACCCATCGAGTAACTAAGCCGAGAGGTGGGACCGGGTAACAGTCTACGAATCAGCTCAGGTATTCTCTTGTTTGAAAGTAGTATTGTTTGCGGTTGGTGGTAATGTAGCCTAAGGAAATGGAGAACGAGCAAATTAAAAGTTTTGATGGTTCTTCCCGTTCTAAAAAAGCAAGCGTGTGGTTGAAGGCAAATCCAATATCGAAACTATTCTTTTGGTGAGTTCACACGGATATCAATGTGACAATGATATGTGATATACTATAGACTTTTACAGATAATAATATCATGTAAAACTGCATCATGCATGAGTGCATCATTAACGCTCAAGGGGTCGTTGTCGTAACAGGATATGTACCCGAGGTACATATATGTGATATGTATACATAAAGTGTACCAGACTTGTAGTTGTACTACAGAAGTGCACCCTAACCCTAACACTAACCCTAACCCTAACCCTAACTCTAAGCCTAACCCTAACCCGTATTTTTTTCGCTGCACTAGACGATCGGGCTAGTAACTGAGGAAAACCACTAGCCCTGACCTAACTTTCACAAGCCCAGACCCAGACCATTGTTATGGAAAACGTTATTTAGAGCCATCATATTAGAGTGTCATCGTATTAATATCCCGTCAGCTTTCAAAGCGCTCTGGTAACAACAATTACGAGAGCGAAAATTTTGGAAGATACAAGAGATAAAATCGCTCCCGTGCCGCCCACAGGCACCTATACAGTAAAAACCCGCGTATAAGAACATAGATTTTAAGAACATGTTAGGCTAAAATTTCCCATTTAGACCCCTTTACATAAGAACCTGTTTTAGGCTAAGATTTTAAAATAGGTTCTTAATTTTCCATGCAGATGAAGACTTAAAAAGAAACACAGGTAAAATAAAAAAGACGAGCTCAACAATATCGATGCAATAACAATGCCAATGCCAATGCCAATGCTCAACAATAACAATGCCAGCACCCTGGCATTGTTATTGAGACACAGTACTGCATTATTTACATATACAGTAAAAACCCGCATAAAAGAACACCTTACACATAACACTACTGTACTGGTAACACATGCATCACAGTCACTAAGCCCGCGCGTAGCGCGGGTTTCAGCTAGTACATATTAAAAGTAGAAACAATTAAGAACCTATTTAAGAACCTTTTGAGCCTAATTTTTCAGTAAGCACCATTTATATAAGAACATGTTGAGGCTAACTTGGAAAAATCTATGTTCTTATACGCGGGTTTTTACTGTATCTAACACGATCCCCCAATGCGAGCACCGAAGGTGTGAGAAGGTAGGACACACACTTTCAGGAATGTCCGATATCAATGAAAGTTTTTGATTCTCAATAAAAATATGCACATCCCCGTATTCCTACTTTGTTGTACTAACCTCCCCTGTATATGTTTGCACTGTCGATGATATTTGACAGCGTTAGGAGAGTAAAATCCGTCGCCAGTAAAAAATTAACAGTTCCCACACGTACAATGGCGGTCATGGCGTGGCAAGTCATGGCAATGCCGCCACCTGATAGGACAAAATTCTAAACACAAGTCGCCGCCATTTTTCTAACGTGTGGGAACTGTTAATTTTTCACAAATATGGAATATATGCTATATACGCTGTAAAACATGATTGACAGTTCAACCAAAGACGCCGGAGACAACAATACAAACTAAGAACGTGTATGCACATGTATTTTAATTGAAACATTCACATTTTTTATCTAAAAAAGGTCCGATTTGATAAAGTCGTGAAATTGTGTGTCCTACCTTCTCACACCTTCGGTGCTCGCATTGGGGGATCGTGTTAGATATAGGTGCCTGTGGTGCCGCCGGCAGCGTTAGAAATTAGTTCCGACCCGGAGGCCCGAGCCCACCAAGTTTTTGCTCGGGCCACCATCTCTACAAAACTCCCGGTCCCCCTGACCGGCACTTTTTCCCCTCATATTACGCTGAAATACTACGGTTAGCGAAACGGCAGTTTAAACAGACTTGTAAACGGGAGCACATAATACGACCCGTTCCTCAACGTAGAGTCGTAGACAGAGTATGCAAAACATCTAGAGCTGCATGAACTCCCTCAACGCATGATTCGCCACACGAGCAAAAACTCGCGACAGTCTAAGAAATCGATTGCACCATGGCCGGCATGTAATGCAGCCCAGTGTTTTTATGACCGCATAACAATAAGTTTTTATATCACAAGGGTTATCGTGGGGAGTGAGGGCACGGCCAATGCCACCTGACACGCACGTAATCAAAATTGAATTCGTCACCTTTCTTAACCTAGAAAGTGGACTATTTTTATTCAGTTAGATATCTAGAAGCAATGTAAACTGTATATATACTTAAAGGACAATTGAAGTCAAATTTTATAACTTCTTTAACGTTTTTATACATATAAATACATTCAATAACGTATTCCATTTCAAATCCGGCGCCCGCAGTTCAAATCCGCAGTAAGAAACACATGAATATTAGTCTAGGTCATGTGACGTCACCGCCCCCTGTTGAAACACGCCATTATGTAAACATAGTGCATGTGGTGTATAAGATGGAGACAGAAAGCGATAATTTCAATGATTCTAGTGATTACTCAGATGATGATGATATTTATAGTGATTTACCAGTTGGATATAGGTTTGGGCCTGAATATACATGAGAAGAAATTGAGGAGAATCGTCTGAAAAAGCAACGCGAAGAGTCGGCACAAACTTCTCAAGAATCAGAACAGTCACAACATGGCGGAATGGAAGCTTCGGTACCAGATAGGACTGTAGACAAATACTGGTGTTCTTGTAGTTGTAGTGTTTGTGAATTAATGAGTACGCACCTGAATGTATATGCTGCCATGAGAATGAGAAGATCAGGGTTATTGTAGACCAGTTCGACGCTAGACCAGGTGAGGCATGCGAGTACACTGATCACCGGGCTTATCACGCTCGGTCAGAATCGCATATATATGTATCTGTACATGTACAAACATCTCTACGCAAGTCATGTACATATACCGTGAATGCATTATCCACACAGGTAATATGTATGTACATCAAGAGCTAATAATACCTAGAGTGTACAACGGAAAAACGGGAAAATAGTGCTATTTCACGACATGATTATTCTACTTTGCCTGCGAGTCTAGAATAATTTTATGGTACTGCATTAAGCAGAATTCTTTGCTCTCTAAAACAAGACCAACCGCTTGTCAATACGATACTCCTAGGCTGAGATATTGGCTCCTAAACCTCCCCTCCCACAGGCATCACAGCGCCTCGAATCCACATCGTCATACAAAATCAAAAAAAGAGCTCGTAAAAAAAAGAAGTAATTTTTAGGCTGGTCTAGTGAAATAAAAAGTTAATGTTGAACCCTGGTCTACCATTCGCACATCTTTGATTTTTCCATCCAAAAGTAGCCATCCCTGCTGAAAAGTTACCAGTCAGGGACTATGGGACCAGCTGCTATTTCCAACACTGGTATATGTCAAGTTTTCTGATTTATGAGAGGTGAACTCGATTTGGAACCAGCAAACCAGCAAGTTCACCCCTACATTTTGGTATTTTTATTCCATTATTATTTTGAATTTTTCGATGGCTTTGCCCATGCAAAACAAACAACAGTGGGGATCCATGTTGATCCGAAAGTAAAAAAAAGAAGAGAAATTTGACCCCTAAATCGTGTGATGGATGACAGAGATGACTGTAAAAGATGTTTCAAAGCACTAAACACCTGAAAGCGTATGAAAACACTATAGCACTAGGTTCAGAGCAATAGTATCAGACCATACGAGAAAGTCTATTGATCCAGACAATACAAAAACTCAGCAGGAAAAGACCAGGCTCATACAATAAAATGAGTGTATGGAATGCAGACAGAGACCAAAATTTTCACATCCGTCGACAGAAGGATTAACAACACAAGGTTAACCTGGTTGAGTATTTTGTTTAGAACTGTATGCTGCGATTTAGTGCACATCTGGCCTGGGCTCGGACCGGAATAGTTGGATGTAGATTGTAGGATCAGATTTTGCAGTATGTACGATACAGGGTTTTGGTAGGTTTAATATTAGGGTTGGGGTGAGGGGTTAAGAATACTATGACATTAATGTCATATAGTATTCTTAACCCCTCACCCCAACCCTAATATGAAACCTACCAAAACCCTGTATTGTACATACTGCAATAAATATATATTGAAAGATATTTATAGATATAGGAAAGATATTTGGTTCAACAGGTAGCAGGTACCAGGTACCAGCAACAGCTACCAGGTACCAGGTAGCAACAAGTTTGGTTTTTGGCTGGTTGCTGTCCCATCGTTTCTCAGTACAGCATACCTAAAAATACTTTGCATATTATATATTGAGAACATCCAAACTACGTACGCAGGTGGTGTGAGCTGTTTCTATTCTTTTGAGGTTATGGCGTATGGCTTCTAGACTAAATGTGTTTTTTTTCTTTTTATAAACTTGTGTTTCTTTCTTTGCCGACACTTCATCTATTGACTTTACGTTGGGCCAATGGCCCAAAGTTCCAGCTTACATCTATGACCTTTGTATACTAGAATAACATGCAAGCCCTGTGGATCAGATTCTTTTATAACAGTATAAAGATGTATTGCAATTAAATTCTGCAGAACGTGGAAGATATTCCAGTGCTTTACCTTTAGTAACTACAGAGAATCGTAAAAAATCCATTTTCTGTTTTTTTTGCAGTTTCCTGAGTCCACTCTTTAACAAGGGCTTGACGGAGCATCTGGAAGTGAGCGACCTTCATGATATTCTACCAGAAGATGCAGCCCAAAATCTGTCAGAGAAGCTCGAAAAGTAAATATCCATAATATCTTGTTATTGCCAAACGATTGCCTGTGTGCTTCTCACACAGAATAATACAATAGATTAAAATTCAATCACTGTATTTTAGGTAATTACTTGAACTACCTGACCTCTTTTTTTATAAGAGCCTAAACTTCAAGAAAACATTTGTCAAGTGGGCTGCAAAGAAGCAGCAGTGCATAATGGGACTTACATTTACTAAATTCCAAAGGAAGTCCTAATTTAGAAGATTGAGACTGCTCAGATGACCCTGTCTTTGCAAACCAAGAAATTTGAATATCTTTAAATTAAACCATAAATAATTAATGGTTATAATAGTTATATTACCATTCCATAGCAGTCTCCTTATTCATAGGCTTAGAATTAAAATTAAAGCCTTACTAATACTACTACTAAACAACAATGAAGTCATATTTTAAACTTAATTTTAAATAAAAATAGCCTAATTTTGTGTAAACTAAACTACATTATTTTATTTTTACTTGATGACTTTATTAAAAATGTTTTCATACACTTCATTGCAGTGGTTTAATTTGGTTATAATAGATGAAGTAATGATTATTAAATAGACCCTTTCTGCTGAATAACAAAACCAGGGCGCGAAATTAGCTCCGGCCCACCGGAATATGCTGGCAAAATATTTGGAGGGCCAGTAACATTGGCAAAACACTGGCTCTCCGAGCCCGTCGTTTCAGCCGTGTTAGCAAGTCAGTGCCAACGTTTTTATTATTTATAGCGTTAATGAGCAAATAGCCTACATTACTGTTTTACCTGAAGGATATCACGCCATAATTTATCAACATTTTACAAATTTGAAATCGAAAATGCAAGCGGGAAACGTGACGTTGACAAAAACACTTCGGACATCATTCACGATCTGCATTATAGTCTGTTCAACAGCTACTATGCGATGCTGCACACGACAACATTTTTCGGACAAGCAAGAATCAATGAAACAGTCTTATCTTTATTTTTGGAAAAAAATATTGTGCGGGCTGGTAAAAAACTGCTGTTACCAGCCCTCTGGGCCCGTGCAAAAAATCTGAATTTCTGCATATATATATATCAGGGTTCTCCAAGCTTTTTCATTATAGCATGGGGGTGCTGCCTTTACGGTCCTAGTTGCAAATCGCCGAAGGCGGTTTGCGTGCTAGAGGGGTCCGGGGGCTCTAATATTTAGCATGGCGGCTATGATATTTAGAGTGGCGGGTGCATTTTAGGATGGCGGGCCGCCAGGCTATAAGTGC